CAGTCATTGATATAGTGTTCATTATCTGATTCTATTACTGAATTATTTTCCATTTCGTTTGTTTCTTTTTCTGATAATTCATATATACTATCTTCACTTTCTAATTCATAATCTACATACTCTATCTGCATATATTTTTCATCGTCTATTATTATTTCTGATATTTGTTTTTTCTTTGGATTTTTAGGTAATTTACAATCTCTAGCTATATGTCCTAATTTTCCACAATTATAACAGGTACATTTCGTTAGTTTTCTTTTTGGTTTATATGGTCTTTTGGTTTTGTAGTTTTTTACATAGTACATTCTTCTTGGTTTTTTATATTTATATTTTGATCTATATGTTTTGTTATATCTCTTTTTATAGTATTTGTCCGTACAACCAAATTGGTGTGTCGTTTTATTTTTGCAACATGCTAAGTTTTTTACTAGTATTTTTTTCATTTTTATTTCTTCTTTATGTTTTTCACATAGTTCTATAAACCATCGTTGTAAGAATTTTATTCTAGCTCCTAAGGTATCTGTTAATCCTGCTTCATTCCAACTTTTTATTATTTTTGAATTAAAGGGTTCTGATAATTTTGTAAAATATAATTTTCTTATTTCCTTACTTTCTTATGTACTATATGTTCCTTTATAATAATATTCTCTAAATGCATATGTATATTAATCTATATAACACATATTACATATTGCTAATTTTGTCATTAGATTCTGATTTATGATTTTTTTCTCTATTTTGTTCTTCTATTTCTGTTGTCATACTACTAAATTCATTTTTTATAGTTATTTCGTATTTATGTAATATTTCCATAGTTGTAGTAGCTAATTCACCATTAGATTTTTTATTACTTCTTAGAGTTTTTAAACTTTCATCTGATAAATTTTGTAGCCATAATTTACTGTTCCATAAGTGTCCTTTCTATATATCCTGGTGTGTCTGTCATTCCTATTTTTTGTTTTGATATATATCCCATCCATAATTGGATTGTTTTATTTATATCTGCTACACAGTCTAAATCTAAAAAATCATATTGTTCAGTTATTGGTTTAGGTGTCCATTTTTTATTTAATCTTTTATCCCATACAGTTTTTTCTTTATCATATTGTCCATAGTTTGCATTATAATATTTTAAATCTTTTGGGTTTTTTATTCCTGATGTACTAGGTTTTTCATTCATGTTTACGTCTCTTGTATTTACTTCTAAATTCTTTGTATTATCTATGTTTGTTAAGAGTTTCGTATATGTTTTGCTTGTTTCCGAATGTTGTTCATCTAGATCATCGTCATTTATTTCATCAATTCTTATTTCAGGTAGATTATCTTGGTTATTTTCTTCTCTTTTTTTTTCTAATTCATCTTCTAATTGCAATTTTTCTTTAAATTTATTTATCTCATTTGCTAATTTTGTTTTTTGTTTTTTTTTCTTTTTGTTTAATTTCATAGATTTCTTTTAATATTGCAAGTTCTTTTTCTAGTTCTATTATTTTAGTATTTTTTACTTCTTCTAATTGTTGTACTTCCTTTTTTGCTTGTTGTTTTATTTTTTCAATTTCCGTTTTTCTATCTATTTCTTCATTTTTTTTTGTTATTCTTATCATAGCAGTTAAACTATCTTCTAGTTTAATCGTTTCTTTTTCTAACATTAAACTTATATTGTCACCTATTTTCTTGTATCTTCTTCCTAGATTAGAAAATATTATCTTTATTTTTAATCCATCATAGTTTTCATATATTTTTTCGTCTATGACATATTCTTCCTTATTCATTTATAGATTGTGTTGAAGTTTATATTATAAATTTTCTATCTGTATTTGTAGATATAAAATAGTTTTCATTTGTGCTACTATAGATTTTTTACAAGTTTCTGCGAATATATTATTATTAAGTCTACTTTGCCTATGTGTTAATTCTTATATTTTCGCTATAATTATTTCAGTAAGTTTTTATCTATATTCGTTATTCTCGTTATTCATTGTATTTTTAAATATTGAATATATTTATATTCTATTTTAGATATATTATCTATTAATTGATCTAATTTTTCGTTATCAGTTTTTTGTAATATTGAGTTGTTTGTATTTTGGATATAATTTGTTTAATTTTCTACCATTTTTCTTAACTTTCTACTAGTATGTTTCTTCTTATAATTCTTTTCATTCATAGCTCTGATACCAAGACAAAGGACAAAGAGATAAAAAGAAGACATAAAAGCGTGTTTGGCCAACAAAGCCAAAAGTAGATGTAAATTATTATGTAAAAGTCTTAAAGTGTACAGTAGTAGTCACATTATTGTAAATTATTAGGTACAAGTTAGTAGAGTAAATTAGTCTAGTATGCATGTGCATTATTAAAGTAGTATGGACAAGTGTAAAAGTAGTAGGTGGTAGTGCATTATTGTGAGTAGGTGGTAGTGCATTATTGTGCAGTAAGTAGTATAGTACATGCATTATTGTGCACTACTGTAATTCCTTTCTTTATAAAGGAAGGTATATGTAACATAATAAGTAAGTCTAGAATAAACGAAGCTTTCTTAAAAAACACTCTCAAATATTTAAATACTTAATAGATAATGGAACAACCTTCAGATATCATGGATAAGCAAGAGGCAAAGGTATATTGTTCAACAAATATGCAGAACTAATTTCATATATTCCTGAATATCATATATATGATTGAATAAATTTATGTTAGTTATTATGTATTAAAATTATTTGAATCATGATTTCTAGTTTATTAGCACACTGGAAACATGGAGAAAACTTCTATACTATACCATCTTAATGTTGAAAATCGGTAGGCGAGGAAAGCCTTTAGGGGAGTAGACAAAGTTGAAGTGCTGATAAGAAGGAAGTATCCGCTAAAGTACGATGCTAGTAGTGACAGGAGAACATGATAAACAGATAATCTAGTTCATAATGATCTAATATGAATTTAATCAATTATAAATATGATAGGAAAGAATAATTGAAAATAAAAAACCTGCATAACAACGAACATGACTACATATATGCATGATGAAATGATAAAAAACTATGAAACTCTAATCTTATATATACTTAAAGATATATAAATAATTGAATTAAGAAGAATAATATGGGAAAAATTATTTAATGATAACGGATCAGAAGATATATTAAACCAACAATGGTATGAAATAGACCTACATGATTTAGACCTCGAAAGAATAGAATGGTATGATTTAGAAATAAATTCAGACTAAAATGAACTACGAATATTTACAATATTGGACAGAATCTATGAAAGATATAAAACTATTAGAACAATTAATAGAAGAAAATTTATATATGTACCTAACTGGAGAAATAGCTTGAGGAAGGTGGTGTAATAAACTCCTTAGTTAAAAGATCGACCCTCAACTAAAACCTCTTTGCAGTTGTGCGAGAGGACAGTTAGGTCTAAAATGGACACAGAAACACATATCCATGAGCCGACTAAGCAAGTAAAGAAAAGAACCACTCATGAACACAACGAAGCTTATACACATGGAAAAAAGAGCTCAGAAGTGCATCAGTGCAACAGGTGTTCACAGTTTGGTGAAAAACCAAACCAAACCACTTGGATTATGAAAACCAGCAATTGGTTTGCTTTGGTTTTAAGCTTTAAATACCTACTATATTTGGTTTGGTCTTGGTTTTACTAAAAAAACTGAAAAAATAACTGAACTGATAAATTCTATTCATAAATTTTTGAACTATCTGAATATATGATAGAGTATTAGTTTTTCATTAATAATTATAAATATTACCTTTTAATCATTAGTTTGATTTTATTCTACTTATTTCACATGCATTATAACACTTATAAATTCAAATTCTTGAAAAATATGCCCAAACCCAACACGTCTAATCGTCTATATGTGGTGTGATGTATTGCCAGTCTTAAATTTTCTTTGCTAAGACATCCATCTACTCTTCAATGGCTTGCCCAATTAGACCATTCTATTTAAAATTATATATTGCTTTTATGGATGTTAGACATGTAAAATGGAGTAACCTCTACAGTTATGCAAATTAACATGCTAAAACTTTGGAATATTGTTGAAAAATCATAAAATATTCAGATGCATTCATCTTGTGATAGTAAAGAGAAATTTGTCGATTCCTAATGTTCATTTGAAATAGTTGTCTCATGTCAATGTTATTTTACTATTGGCAATTCATCATTAGCTAGTTATAAACCGAACCAAACTGATGGTTTTTTATTTATTTGGTTTGGTTTGGTTTAGTTTGATTTGGCTTTAGAAATTTAAAAACTGACTAAATTGATTTGGTTTTGGTTTAAATCAAAAACCGATCCAAACCGAACAATGAACAGCCCAAAATGCAAGCTCAATTTTCTCAGGAACGAGGTTCCATGATATGTTTCTATTGTGCTATTTGGAAAGTCAGGTGATTTGCAGCCCAAATATTCTAGTAAAGTAGGGCATTTGTCAAAGGTGTACATGATCTCATTCTACCTACCTGAGTTGAACCAGCTTTTCAAGAATTACAGAATACAGAAGAGGAACTGTGTATTCTGAGAACGTCAAGCATTACAAGAAAGCTATACCAAAGCATAGTTCATGATACTGCAGCAATGGTATAGGTTATTTCCTTTTTCTAGAGAAGAATTACATTTGTTTAGAGTACAACAGGTTAACTTAGAGAAACTGAAGCAGGCCACAGAGTAGAAGTGGTCCTACTTTCAACAAAGCTTAGATAAACTTCCGTTCATTTTTTGCTTAGTTCCATTTAAGGAAGTGATTCTTGGATTACCCTATCTCAAATTTCAGCTATTTTCAGGATCAAAATTGCAATGTCTATGCACAAGGTTAAGCTTCCATAGGCCATGACAATAGCAGAGTAGCCAAGTTAATTAAAAAGTACCCTGTACATTTGTTTTCCTAATACGACTACTTCAACAATAAATAATGGGATCTGGGCAGAATATGCACCTGAGGTAATGATGGGGAACTGTGAATGAAAGACCCGGGTTAAAACTGCTAAGAGGTATCCATAAATGAGAGAGGACACTGAAAACATATTAATCCATTCGAAACAAGACATTCAACTCCCCTTTCACCTGTTATTTCCAATCTATCCAACAGTGTTCTCTCATGATACTATCCTGCACTTCCATAGGTACCCACATCCTTAATCTTGTGTCAACCACAATGTATTCTAATGTTTGACATCCTAGTACCAACTCTTCCAAATCATATCCACTAAGCTTTTCACAACTAGTCAAAATGAGCTCTTTCAATGACCCATGCTTTGTCAAAGTACGGACGCCTTCACCAGTGACAAATTCACAGCCAGTTAAATTAAGAGCATCCAGATTCTTGCAACCTTCAGCTAGAGCAACAACAGTAGCATCAGACACATTTACAAGCCATGACAAGTTCAACCTCTTAAAACTCTCACTTGAAGCAATAGCCTCACCAGCTAAATCAGTCACATTCGGTCCACATTCTGCCAAATCCAATTCCTCCAAGCAACATAATTGCATCAAACTCAACACCCCACAATCCGTAATCCTATCACATTCAGCAAGAATTAGTTTCTTCAAGGTCATCCTAAGAGGTCCTCCTGTTAATGATTTCAAACCCGCATCAGATACCAACCAACACCCCTGTAGATTCAAGTACTTCAAAGAGCTAACACTTCCAATAACTCTAAGTGCTTCATCACTAACCTTGTCACAAAAACTTAAGTCTAAATATATCAACTTAGGCAAAAAGCTAACAAGAGAAACAACCCCAGCATCCCCAACTCCACTTCTCTTTCTCAAAGAAACTGTATTGAGATGAGAACAACCCATTGCGATGAAACACAAACCATTTTCATCAAAATCATCCAAGATTAAACTTTCATCCCTTTCATCATAAAATCTGTTCTTTTTCTTGAAATTAAGGTTAAGAATTTGGATCCTGGGACATTTTTCAGCTAAAATTTCAAGATGGGTATTCGTGATTTCTTCAGATGTATCAAATTTTAGCAAATTTGGGAATCTTGGAAGGAAATTAAGCAAAAGATTGGGTTCAAAAACACGTACAGATGATCGAGTTAAGCCTTCAATTCTGAGCCACTGCTTACAAACTTGAGAAATGGATCTTCTACAGGCAGAGTCGTGAACCCTACTCATTATCGAAGCTAAAACATCATCTCCCAAATTTTCCATTCTCAATTGCTACATAGTGCAGATAGTGTCTTTATTTGTAGTGAATTTTTTTTTTCATTGTTCATTTGGATCATTTATAAATACAGAAATATGCTCTCTTGCATCAGCTTATACATGCCTTTAATATTGGACATGTATAAAATCAAACCAGTAACACCTGTATAAAATTAAATAAATAACACACATTTTACATGATATATTAAATGGAAAAGGGCCAAAATTGCTCCTGAACTATGCGAAATAGACCACTTATACCCTCCATTACATTTTGGAATAAAAAATACCCCCGCAATTATCCCAGGAGACCACAAATACCCTCAAGAGTTAACACCCCAATTTTTTAGTGACGTGGCAAGCCACATGGGACTAATCCCTCCACCTAAGCATTGCCAACTAAGATTCACAACAAAAGAACTAGACCTTTAGCGGCAACAACAGTCGCCACAAAAGCCCAGAAAATCGTCACTAAAATTTTTTAACATTAAATGCTAATTTTGTGTTTTTTTCTTCATTGTTTTTAAAAAACCAAATATGATATCGATTAAGTAGGAGTTTGAAGACACTATATGTTTTATTTTTATGTCATATGTAAATGTATAAAATGTACAATGATGCATTATATATATATATATAGTAGGAGATTTGAATCAAGAAGTAATTTTGATTATTTTTCGTAATAATATTGGATGTTTTATTTATTTTAGAAAATTAGGTTACAATCGAAAATTAATTATCATATTTTTTTGTTGAAAAAATAGGTTTTACTAGCGAATGGTTGTTGGAGCCTTAGTCGCCACTAAAAATCACTCATAACCTTTAGTGGCAATATTTTGGGATTTTGTGGCGACTTTGTCGCCACTAAAAGTTAAGTTCTTTTGTTGTGAATCTTAGTTGACAATGCTTAGGTGAAGGGATTAGTCTCATGTGGCTTGCCACGACACTAAAAAATTGGGGTGTTAACTCTTGAGGGTATTTGTGGTCTCCTGGGATAACTGCGGGGGTATTTTTTATCCCAAAATGTAATTGAGGATATAAGTAGTCTATTTCGCATAGTTCAGGGGCAATTTTGACCCTTTTCCGTATATTAAATGACAAACCCTATATAAAATGCATGTTGCATATTAATAATTGTTTGGTACCAAAAAAAAAAATATTTCATGAAAAAATTTATCCATGTTTGTTTATAAGTGAAAAATTGGTTGTTTATAAGTGGAAAATAAGTTAGAAACCAAACTCCATTAAGACATGACTTGGATTCAACATTCGAACTGCGATCCAATCTCAATCCTGATATCCGAACCTAGACAAGACCGATTCAAAATATTGATTTAGAAAACATTTTAAAAAATATTTAAGCCAACCAAACATAAAAAAAAATTGAAAAATATTGTTTTCCTTTATACCAACCCCTATCTCAATCTCGATATCCGAACGTGGACAAGACCTTGACTAATTCATAGCATTGATTTTGAAAACATTTATGAAATAATTGAGAAACATTGCTTTCCTTTAAACCAAACATGAAATAATTGAAAAACATTGTTTTCCTTTATACCAACCCATAAAGGAATAGTATTAATTTTTTATTTTATTTTTCTATCTGGTGTCTGGTACCCATATTGAAGTAAGCGCACAAAGATGAGTTTTATGACTCATAACTAAAATGATCATTTTTTCCAATATAATGACTATTTTTATTACAAGGTAAATATGAATGACTAAAATGATCAGTTTTTCATATATTAAGACCTATTTTAATTACACAGTATATATAAAGGGCAAGATGAATCACTTTTTCTAAACAGTAAAGACTATTTCAAAGTATGTAGAAAACTAGATGAATCACTTTTTCTATAAATTAAAAACTACCAAACCATTTCAATTACATGGTATAAATGAAATCACTTTTTTTATACATCAAAAATTCTTTTATTTATATATGATAAATGGGAGTCTGGAGCCAAAAGGGCAACTTTTTTCTTTTAAAAAACTAAAACGGCACATCAAAAAAAAATTAACCAAAAGGGAAAAATCGCTCCGTTAGGAGCGATTTTCTTCTGACAAAAGTTGTCGTACGTTAAAAAAATAAAAATCGTTGCCTTAGCAGCGATTTTCTCAAAAAAATTTAATATTCTTTTATTATTATTTATGATATATAATTCAATTTTCCTCATGCTTCAACAATTTTATTGAGTATAATGTCCGTCTTGTTTATCATTTTTATATTATTAATAATTAACAATAGGCATGAAAATAATAGCACTAGGCATGAAAAATGCTGCCCCTGCAGCGATGTGTAAGGAAAAAAAAATTACAAAATCGCTGCTAAGGCAGCAATTTTTCGTCATTGTGTCAAAGGGAAGTCGCTTTGTCAGGAGCGATTTTGCCCTTTTGGTTTTAAAAAAATTTGATGTGCCCTTTTGGAATTTTTGACAATTTTTTTTGCCTTTTTGGCTCCGGACTCTGATAAACGGAGGGATCACTTTTACTATACATCAAAAACTATTTCAATTACATACATATATATTAATATATATGAAAGACTAGAATAATCCAACCCCATTAAGGACTATTTTGATAGTTTTCCCAACAGTTTAGTCGAGTAAAAGTGAAGTCCAAAAAAAAGTAAAATTGGTTACATCCCTTCTCCGGAGTTCAAATCCAATTGCCGCATCAAACTTTATCAGTTCTGTCTGCTTATCCTTCTCATACACCTATGTTCTCAATGAAGTCTCAATTTGCACATTCAAACTTGTCTTGTGATTCATCACAACAAGACAAGTCTTACTGGAAGTTCCAAGACGACTAGGATTTCCAACTCATCATGTGATCACAACCGCGTACCTGGAAGGAAGTTTACAGGTCTAGCGTGATTATTAAACCTTTGGAAGATAATGGATTCAACAAACCTACAGAATGAATACAATTATCACAGCTTCGGGACCAAGATTGTGTCCACTGGTCACCACCAGATAACTCCTGCAGAGTAACCAAGTGCTATGAGAGAGGAGTAATGACTCCATGCTTATGTCAACCAACCTCTTGCGAGCTAGACCACTGTTCATAGTGCAACAACAAAAAATTGACAATCAAGTCACTCTCACAGCTTCGGTAAGCAAAATGGATCTTCAGCAGATTGAGAGCTAGACAACTATTCATGGTGCAACAAAAGAAATTGATTTGTATGTTTCAGAATAATATTAGCATGAACCTAAATCTGTTTCTAAGTAAAACATGAGTTTTGCGCTCCAAACTACTATTGTTTAGAAATTTCTAGTGTTACATTGAGGTAAATTAATAATTATGCAACAGACACTTAGTACTTGAGACGGTTTTTTTTTTTTTTTATTCAATCAGGGTAATCTGATAGTTTTGGCCATGAAGCAACTCAAGGGCACTACAGATGATGAGAAAGCATATGACAAGCGTAAATCAAGCCATGAACATAAGAAGAAAAATCTTTCTCCTGTGACCACAAGTACGCCCCCCCCCCCCATCAAATCACAATGGCGAGTTATAAACTTAGTTGTTGAATGCATCACAATATCTGAAATATAATGGACCATTTAAGGTAACCAGCACTTTGAGAATGTTAACACAAGAAGGTTCATGTTACCATAACAAGAAGTATCTGCAGATACCTGCTCCAAGGTTCAAAGGATGGGATGATACAAGGTACTACATAATACTGTTGTTACCTACCAGTACAAGAGAACCATGTGAGCGAGCCATCTCAGCTATTTTCTGAAAAAGATCAGAGAGGAAAAAACACATATAAGAAAAGGAAGCAATTATTAATTAGAATTTAATAGACTTCAACATATCAGCAGCCATGAAAGAACACTAAACAATATTTCTTAATACAAGAGAAATGACATTTTCTTGTCAAATGAACAATAACCAGTCCACTAAAGAATGACAGTACGTATATTGAGTTTTGGGTTATTACATATTATTCTCCTCCAATTTGAAGGCTTTTGGGTTTACTCCTACATAATTATTACCAAATCCACCAGAGAACGACAATACGTATATTGTAGAAGTGAACAAAAAGGAAAAAAATTCATTAGAATTATAAAGTAGTGTCGTTTTCTGAGTAAATAGCAAAGTATTACAACCCTCGCTCCACTGAATTAATCAAGGCACTGAGGCGATGCAAAATATTTCATCGCAACCACATAACATACAACTATATGCACATAGTTTGGTACTTGTATAATAATAATCATTAAGATAATCTAAAGCAAACCACAAGGGCAAAAGTTTATTAAAAATATAATATCAACAAAAACTAAAATAGACAAAAAAAAAAAGAAGAGAAAATCAAAACCAAACCTAGGACTTGAGTATGCAAGCTGGCGACAATCAGAACTGACAAGAGGCAAGGCAGATAGAGAGCCATAAACAATAAAGAAAAATCAAAACTAAGGGAGAAGAGATAGAGATAGATAGAGTGAGGGAGAGATGATTCGAATTACCTGGTGACGACAGCCGTTGATTGGATATTCATCAGCTTGAGAACTTTTTTTGATGCTATATCGGAAGAGTCTCCGTCTTCTACAAAATCTCATAGAATCACTGTGAGTAAGGATTTTCATATTACGTGTTGATCGAAGGCGTCATGCTGTCTCCACCATTGGCTTTCTTCGCCAACGCCAACGATTCATCCACCACATCAAACACACTCACCTTCCTCTTCCACATTGTTCCTATCCAGAACATCTAAAATCCACCACAAATCCAAAATCCCTGACGAAACAATTGCAGATGCACTGAATAATCGGAGAATAGGAGACTGGGATTTTAGATTTCTGTTTGTTCTCAGTTTACAAGGAGGGAGGGAACATACAAAAAGGTGGAGGGAAGATAAAATTAGGAAAAAATCACTTTCAGTTATTTGTATTACTCTATTTAGTACCAACATTTTGTGGCTAATCTCTTCAATGGACAGTGAAAAGGTCTTCATTCCCATTTATTGTCTAATTGTTGAGCAAA